TCTATGAGTATGCCAATTTCAAATTATTGTGAATTATATTGTGCCATAATTTCAAACTTTTCATACACAATAAAACGTACTATTCACTGTGAAGACAAAAAAGCATAGAAAAACAAACACTTTTTATATAGCAGAAACATATTTATTTATATTTAAACATATTGTGCAATTAAATTTAACATTAAATTTTATAAATTTTACGTATTATGGGTTTTTCCATTATGAAAAGTAAATTTTTATATTCAGCTTACGGCTTTGAAATGCCTAAATCTGGCTCTGTGTAAGGCACGTGGACTCAAGAGATTTATCACTTCTATACTCGTATAACTTAAAATTATATCAAGTTCACGATTAAAAGTAATTAAATGCACTTAATTTAGTAATAAAATTGCGGAATGTAAAACGTTTCCTATTGCTTTTGTAATTTATAATTTCGAATTAAGCATTGTCTATTATATTCAATATTTAAAAATCAAGAAAATAAATGAAATATTTAGGTGTTGTATTGAACACTGTAAATATTAAACAAACAAATACGGTTTAGAATTGAAAAAGTTTAATTTCAATTAAAGTCAAGTAAAATTAGACATATTATTAATTTGATTATTGATAATTGGCGTGGAGTAAATAGTTAATGATATTTTTTCTTGTGGTGAAGTAAACCCGATTTCCAGAAAAACTGTTCCAGACAGTAGTTACATGAGTAGATCTTTTTTCCAGTATGAAAATGTTTGTGTTTTTGCAAACTTTCACGTCGTTTATGTGCGTTGCCATACTGTTTGCAGACAAAAGGTTTTTCTCCAGTGTGGATTCTGCAATGTCTAGTTAAGGATTTCTTGTCTGAAAACTTATTCTTGCAATACTGGCACACGAAAGGTGTTTTTGTTTTATGGATAATTGCGTGCATCAGTAAAGCGTTGACTGATTGAAGTTGGCAATTACAAACTTTGCAGCATAATTTAAGACGAGAAAGATCTGTAAAATAGAGTTAATAAATATATGAAAACCAATTCTCAACCTATTGTCAATGTGAGATCAGCCGGGGTTACGGAGTAAGTAGTACTCAAGTAACGCTTAATCGGCACCCAGTTGGTAAAACTAGTTCTCCAAGGTTTTGAATCGTAAGATCCGATCCAAATCTATTTCATAGGAGAGCTATTAAAATGTTGATTGGATATAGGCGGCGAAGACTATATCTAACGTCAGGTTTCCTTGACACCAGTTTGTCGGTTATTTTACACGCGGACAAACACGCGTATGCGATCTGATTCGAACACCAAATTAAGAGACATTTTTAGTATAATTAACAAAAGTAAATTTAATATATCTCAAACAAACGAATACAAATAACCAAATACAACGATAATACGACAAGCTTTAGGCTACGGCTTAATTTAAGCTAATGCGCGTTCGAGAGAGAGCTCACAAATGATTCTAAACATACGACCTGTTAGTTGTCGTCGTCTTCGTTTCTGTAGGTAAAGGACACCTGGTAGATAGAGTTTATGTTACTTAGTATGGGAGATCAATTCGTGCACAAAATATAAAATTATCACTTCTTCTAAGTGTAGACTC